CTTTCCGAAGACCAGGGCCCATGGAAATGAGTTCACAGTTATCTTTAACGCCGCATTTCGCGCTCCAAAAACTATCACAAGAATGTTGAGTCATGAGCAAAAGTTGCTCCAAGCGGGGCTTCAATCCACAAGTCACGCCTTCCGCAACAGTGCCCTATCTGATACGCTATGAGTCCATTGTGGAATCATGTGATTTTTGAACGTAGGTTACATGTTCAGGTACGTAACGTCATAATTTACCACAAGGATCTGCGGTTCTACTTCGAGCATACGGTCACTTTCCGATTTCTGCGGGATTTGTTCGCCTACTACTCGTCTCATGCTGTACGCATCAATAATGTACGTGGTATTTCACATCAAATATCAAATCGTTAGCATCTAATCCTCCGAGAACAGCCGCTGAAAAGTCGATTACGTCGAAGGAGTTGCAGAGTGTGAGCACGGCTTTACTCGTACTCATATGAGCGGTGACTCCAGCTCTCCTGAGCGCTCTTCAGAGAGTGCACGTTCGAAAATGAGTGTTACTCATATCACACCTATCAGCAGCATTGAATTCCATGCCATCTGAATAAACCATTGGGTTGAAGTTCAAGGCACTCTTCTTCGAACATGGGGATGAACGTTTGCTTTAGGCGGCGTTCATACTTTGCGGCAGCATTCACCAGCGACCAGCAGCGTCCACCAGCGAACGCTAGCATCCGAGCTTTCGACAGCGTCAGCGACTGGAGAAGTAGAGGTATCAATCTAGCGACCACCACCGTCTACCAACGTTCGCCAGCGACCAGCAGCGTCTCAAGGGCTAGGGATGTACAGGTATCGATCTACCAAACAGCAGTGTCTACCTGCGTTCGCCAGCGATCAGCAGCGTTCAGGAGTGAGGAGTATGAGACGATGGCAGAGTAGCAGACAGGTGGTGCTCTCCTATCGTCCCATATTCTCCACTAGCATACTGCAATCTCCTAACACCAGATGTCGTACTCTTTTATGTCCATGGGCTCGCATTCCTGGACGTGCTAGTCGCTGTGTGATCGCTGTAGAGAGTGGTCGTTAGATCATAACCTATACTTCAGTAGTCCTCGAGACGCTCTGGTGGCTGGTGGCGCTATACATGACTGGTGTGGGACGTGGTTTGCTAGCTCGTTTTTGGTACGCTGCCGAATGAGTGATTGAGCGCGATTTCTATTCCTCCGCTAATCCTCCAATGAAAACCGTATAGTTTCGCGGTATATCCTATGGCGTTATTCCTTGGGCTCTGCGATTCGAAGGCAGTGCCGCGGCAGATTAACGTACAGGAGCTCTTTACTGTACGATGTCGCTGTCAGTGATAGCAGAGGGTTTTCCACTCTCTCAAATCGAAAGTGCTCGATAAGAGCGCCACAGCTCGAAATAAGTGGCCGGGAACAAGGCTCGCCTATGCGAGTTGGATTCACCCTTCACTTCACATTGGTGTATAGCGATGGGGTACTGACAGCGATATGCGCTCATGTTCTGCCGGACTTTGAAGCTATCTATGCACTGGATGATATAATTCTATGCGGTGTCATCGTGCATGCTCCTCTGCAGCTTTACAGAAGCTTAACAGCTACAGCCTTATTCGCTGTAAATGCCGAAGCGTGTCAAGGGAGGGGGTGGGTTTGGAAAAGCGCCAAGCCAGATTTCGACCAATTGTGGATGCTAGCAAGCTACCACATACGGTGGGAAACGGTCTGGCACCGCACCAAATCCAGACCCTCTGAAACTTCTCAGCGGCAACGAACAAGTGCATCTCTGTCACAAACGTCCCGTTTGCTTTCCACCAACTATCAAAGCAGCTAAGCAACCAAATGGGGCACACTCAATAGGTATGCTGGATAACAGCGCTTACTAGTGCGAAAAGAACATGCTGCGACGGAGAGCATGAGCTAGCTTGCTCCCCGTGCACCGCCCCAGCATCCTGACAGCATGAAGGCTCTGCAGCAGAAGGGGAGCACAGCTCGACTAGTAAAGTTCTCGGAGGAAATGGCCTATTTTTTTGCGTGGCGCTACCCAAAGGTACATATGAGCTCTAAACCATGCTTCAACCCGCGGGGGCAATACATTTCGACTTCTGCAGTTGTACGAAGTGCAGAGGCTTTTCATAAAAGCTGCTAATCAGTGGGTATGACAGGCAGCCTCCACAGCTTCAATTCTAATGGAATAACTTCACTCTCACGGTTCGGACTGCTACGCGAACAAAGCTAATGTGTAGCCTCGCGTTACATAGCCTCGACATAAAGCTGAGTTCACACTTTGCGGCAACGTCCACCAGCGACTATCAGCATTTCGAGCGTCCGTCAGCGTCAGGGTCAGCGACCAGGGTAGTCAGGAAAGTAGAGATATCGATCTAGCGTCTACCAGCGGTCACGAGCGACCAGGGCACACTGTACTGTGCACAGTGCTTGCACACGCCACAATTACACGATGCCTGATCTGTCTCCTCCCCCCCCCACTGCTCTCCATGTTCTACCAGCAGTCCGCTACCCTCCTACTTCTCCATACCCTCACTCCTGGTCGCTGGTGGACGCTGGTAGACGCTGCCGTTCGCTAGATCGATATCTATACTTTCCTAGTCGCTGACGCTGACGGACGCTCGAAACGCTGACGGTCGCTGTAAACGCTTGTGGACGCTGCCGCAGAGTATGAACGCAGCTCAAAGGACGTATGACGTAGAGAGATTTCCAGAAAACAGAATCATTTGGAATGCGTTAAACTAAGTGTTACGAACATCTGTAGTTAGAAAGAATTCAGGCGGATATTATGCTCAAGAGAGGAGTGGGATTGGCAAAGTGGGAGATACAGCACAAGCAAGTCACTACAGGAAAGCTATTGGGACAAGGAGCTTTTGGTGAAGTGAAGAAAGGAACACTTCTGAGAAGTTCAGGGAGATCGGTACCTGTCGCTATTAAAACGGTCGGTCGCATTTGTTTTTATTATTCGTTGTTAAAAGCGCGAGAAACAGCTAGCAAT